AAATAATAATGTTATTGTAATAACATTGTAATAAATAATAATAATGTTATTGTAACACCTAAAAAATTAAGTAATAATTCTATAGTATCATCAAATATTTAATGTTTAGATTTCTCTGATTGTCTTATCAATGTATGATGTTTTTAGTTATATTCCTTCAGTTTTGGTAACTAAGTCTTGATATACATGCTTAATTAGTTCATTTTTTAAAAATAAGATTATTTTGTCTTTTCTCTTTTTTAAGATTTTATTTTTTATTTGACAGAGAGAGGGAGAGATCACAAGTAGGCAGAGAGGCAGGCATAGAGAGAGACAGGGGGAAGCAGGCTCCCTGCTGAGCAGAGAGCCCTATGTGGGCCTTGATCCCAGGACCCTGGGATCACGATCTGAGCCAAAGGCAGAGGCTTAACCCACCGACCCATCCAGGTGCCCCATGTTTAATTAGTTCTTTAGAATAAATGCTGATATTTGAAATTACTGGGTCAAAAGTATGTTATGCTTACATCTAGAAAAATGTTCTTACCCATCAACCTTAAATATTCTAAAAGAACATTTTGTAGGAATGTGACTGTAGACGGCATGAGGAGGAAATTTTTTTTCTTTTTTTAAATTATTTTTTATTAATATACAATGTATTAGTTGCTTCAGAGGTACAGGTCTGTGACTCATCAGTCACAATTCACAATTCACAGAGCTCACCATAGCACATACTCTCCCCAATGTCCATCACCCAGCCACCCCATCCTTTTCACCTTCCCTCCACTCCAGCAACCCTCAGTTTATTTCCTGAGATTAAGTCTCTTATGGTTTATCTCCTGAGGAGGAAATTTTTCTATTTGAAGCTTTCCTATGCTAGTGACAGAGGGAAGATAATACTCAAAGGCTTCTGGGTATTCATTATGGTAAATTCCAGGCTGATTTCTTTCCTGCCCCCCTTTGTCAGTTTCATCCAGGTCAGGAGGGCTGAACAGCACCCGCTCCTTCTCAATAACCCAGGTGTTCTTAAAGAGTTGGCATCTTTTACCCAGGAATCAAGAATCTACCTGTAGAATGAGGGGAATCCTGAGGAATCAAGAATCTACCTGTAGAATGAAATACAGACCTAAAAGGAAGGTCTGTATTTTAATCCAGTGTAGTTTCTGTGCCACCCTGTGCTCTCAGTGCTAAGTCATTTATATTATCTAAAATATTTACATTTCTAATTTATATAGAAGCAAAAAAAGAAAAGCTGTTTATATAGAAACAGCTATACAGACCAGAGTTCAAATTCTGACATTGTCAGTTATTGGCTACATGAGCTCAGACAAATTATTTCCCTTCTCTGAAAGTCAGTTTTTTGGGCAGTAAAATGACAGTTTCCTAAAATTGCTACAGTGATGAAGTTACTTGGCACACAGTAAGTGCTCAATAGGTATTTGTTGTATGAATGAATATTTCCTTACGAGAGTCGTTTTTTTTTTTTGAGCTAGAAGAAATCTAAGTGTACATCTTTTTTATTTTAGAAATGTAAAACCTAAGTTCAGAGAAAATATGAAATTTGGCCTTCCAGTCATTCATTCAACAAACATTTATTAAGCACTAAGTCTGTGTCAGGCACTGAAGATATAATAGTAACAGATGGTCATTGTTCTCAAGGTGTAGGGATGACATGTTTTTAAAAGTGCTATACTGAGCTATATGTGTTATTATAGTTATCTAGCAGTGTGATGTCCAATATGGTAGCCATTAGCCACATGTGGCTCTTTAAATTTAAGTTAGTTACAATGAAATAAAATTAAAATCCAGTTCCTCAGTCACATTAAGCACTTTTCAAGTACTCAGTGGCCACACATGGCTAGTGGTTACTCTATTGGACAGGAAAAGGATCAAACTTTCCATCATTGAAGAAAGTTTTACTAGACAGTGCTGCTTTAGACCTTCTCCCCAGAATCACATTCATATGCAGTATATTTGCAACTTAGTCTGAAAGCCCCTTACTATACAAGCAAGAGGGAAATGATGGGTGTTAGGAATGAAGTTAAAATCAAAGGTAGTTTTACTATAAGCCAGGGTCCAAACTTGTGAAAATTTTAGCTTAGAACAGTTTCTCACTGAGTTGGCTGCAGCAGAATAATGAGTCACTTGTTCATTTTAACAGGGATGAGCTCCATATCCTGTGTCTTGTGGGGAGTTCTGTGGTTGTCTGGGCCTATGTGACCACATGCTGATGTGTGCACAATTCAGACAGGGAGATGTCTTCATAGATTCCCTGAGATTTCAGTGAAACTCTATCACTTTTCTCGTTTACGTGTCTTGAACTGAAGACATTTCATGGATTTCACTTCTCACAGGCTATGTCTGCTCAGTGATCACTTATTGGGTAGTTTCTATGTCCCAGGGACTGCACTATGTGTTATGGATATGAAGATGATTAGACAAGTTTATAATCTAGTAGAGGAGACAAAGATGAAACCAGGTGGTTAGAGTCAAGGTGAAACCAAAAAGTAAGTGCTGGGACAGAATGAGATACTGGGAAATTGGAGAAAAAGAGATATTAAATTTAATTTGGGGATTAGAAAAGGTAGATAAAAGAGATGACATTTGAAAGCAGCCCTGCAGTATATGTTGGGACAGAATAGCATGAAATATGCTATCACTGAGAGTTAATCCATGTTGAAGTCCTTGAAATTAAAAATTCTTAAAAAAAATTCTTCCATACAAGTTGTGATTTCTCCCACTCCTTCTTTCGTACTGAACCTGCTCTGCCTTTCTGGAGACTTCCACTCTTTTTTTTAAAACATTTTTTTAGAAGATTTTTTATATATTTGACAGAAAGAGATCACAAGTAGGCAGAGAGGCAGGCAGAGAGAGGAGGAAGCAGGATCCCTGCTGAGCAGAGAGCCTGATGTGGGTCTCGATCCCAGGACCCTGGGATCATGACCCAAGCTGAAGGTAGAGGCTTTAACCCGCTGAGCCACCCAGGTGCCCCTGAACTTCTTACTTTATGAAGCAATACATTTCCTTATTGTCCAAGCCATTGTAAGTCACAGTCTTCTGTTCTCTGGAGCAATGTTTTATTTCCAGTGCTAGATCTTAAACTTTTTGAATTCAGATTCTATTTCTGACTAGCTCTCTTATGGCTTGACACACAGCAGATGCTCAAAAAATGAGTTTGAGGGGCAACTTGGTGGCTCAGTCGGTTATGCGTCTGCCTCCGGCTCAGGTCATGATCCCAAGGTCCTGGGATGGAGTCCCACATCAGGATCTCTCTTCAGCAGGGAGACTGTTTCTCTCTCTCCCTCTGCCTGCCCCTCCCCATTTGTGTGCATGCTCTCTCTGTCAAATAAGTAAATAAGGTCTTTTTAAAAAGAAGTTTAAAAAATGATTGTGAATTTGATATTTAAATATTTATTTCTGATAAAACTAGTAAAAGCATCTGCAACTTATAAAGCTCTTTATTTACTCATAGCAATTTAGAGATAAACAAAAGAAGCTTAGATTAAATAACACGCTCAGGGCATTTTACTTCTCAAAGTCATATAGGTTCTGAACAGGTTGTTCCCCTTTGTCTGAAATCCTTATCCATGACTACCATGCCTGTTAGGGTCCCAAGAGTACGGGTGGCTGATGGAAAAAGCAAGCAGCAGGCCACTCCAGTGTTTAACCCACCATAATGCCAGTATACTGCCCTAGTTATTTCTGACTTGGAACTCAGGCCTGGAACCTGGAACCCCTTCGCCTCTCAGTCCCAATTCATAATGCTATCTCTAGTGCCAGGACCATGAATCCCCATAAATACATCACTTTATATGCAGAGGTGTTTTCCCGGGAAAACGATCATGGCTTTTATTAAATTCTCAGGAAGGTCTGTGACTTCCTTAAAGGTTAAGAAGCACTATGATACAATTTCTCAGAAGTAAATGAAAAAAATTTAAAAATATTCCTCATTCAGTGGACCTAATAGCTCCCCCTGTTGTTCTATATTAGGTCATCTAAGGACCAGTAGATCAGGAACCACTTGTAGATCTTGAAGCAGGAGACATAGAGGCAGAGAGAGTCCAATACCTCCAATCAAGACCAGTGCAAAAGGAAAATGCAGAGCCCTTTGTTGAAATGTTATTAAGCGATGTGCCACAGGTTGTATAAAAAGCGGGGCCTTCCTGATAGGAGCATCCATTCAATAACACTGGGTATCTTCAAAAGGCCTCGTTCTAGATGCTGGGGAAACAACTCTGAATAACTCAGACGTTTGTCTTGGGCAGAGACAATGAACAAATAAGAAAAATATCAGACAGTGATAGGTGCTGAGTGAAATTTAACATAGGATTATGCGATATAGGGTGACTGGTTGGCTATTTTAGATTGGGTGGTCTGGGAGGACCTCTCTGAGATGACATTTGAGCTAAGACTTTACTGAAAATAGTCCTGCCTCCACGGGAGGTGGAGAGGATTTCCTTAAGCTTGGGAAACGGGACAAAAGCTCAAGGCAGGAAGGGAAGAGAACCCATGCTAGTGAACTGGTGGCTAGGTACGGGGTTAGAGTAGCGAAGATGAAAGTAAGTGAGCCGATTTGCGTCCAAAGCGCTGCCAGCTGTCTGCCGCCTCCCATTAGGGCGCCGCCCGGGTCAGGTGAGTGGGTGGCTAGCTCAGAGCCCAGCAGAGGAGCCGCCCCCAGGGGCTGGCCGGCGTCCGCAGGCGCGCCGACGTGGCCGGCGCGATAGGCCGCGCACGTGGCCAGCTCCCAGACTTGGAGGCGGAGGCGCGCAGGGGGTCTCCTGATCCTCCAGGTGATCAGTCTCCAGGCGCCAAGCGCCCGGAGCCTCGGGTCCGAGGGCCAGAGGAAAGAAGCAGATGGGCGGGGCGGAAGAGGGCTGGGTCAAGGCGAGGAGGGGGCGGCCAGGCGGGCCCGCGCACAGGCCGCGTGCACGCGCCGGAACCTGGGCGCGCGGGGCGCGCGGGGCGCGCCGGGGCGGGGAGGGGATCGGGGCGGGGAGGGGATGGGGGCGGGGTGGGGCAGCCCTTTCCCAGGCTGTAGCGGGGGCGGCGTCGCTGTTGCCCTTTTAAGCCGTGGGGCCGTGGTCTCCTGCCCGCGGAGTCGGTTACAAAGAGAGCAGCAGACGTCCCCGCCGCCGCCCAGGCCGCCGCCCAGCCGCCCGCCGAGGCCTCAGTGCCCCTAGCCATTTTTCAGCCGCGATACGACGCGGGCCTCGGCGGCGGGGAGAGGCGGAGCCGCGAGAGTGCGGCCCCAAGCCGGCCCTGTGGGGCGGTAGCGGCCGTGACGGCGGCTCTGGGCCCAGCTCCCCTTTCGCACCCCTCCTGCCGGAGATGAGGGGAAGATGTCCGTGTCAGGGCTCAAGGCCGAGTTGAAGTTCCTAGCGTCCATCTTCGACAAGAACCACGAGCGATTCCGCATCGTCAGCTGGAAGCTGGACGAGCTGCATTGCCAGTTCCTGCTGCCGCCTCCGGCACCGCCCGGCAGCCCGCACTCGCCGTCTCCGCCGCTTACACTCCACTGCAACATCACGGTGAGGCGCCCGGCCTCAGACCCTCGAAGCCAGACGGGGGCTGAAAGGGGCGCCCGAGTCCTGGGACAAAAGGGAATCGGTCCGGTAGGGGCCCCTTTGGCTCCCGGGGCCCCGGGCGGGGCGGATCCGCCCCTTTCCCGGGCATGGGGCCCTGCCCAGGCCCAGCCTTGCAAGCGCGAGGTTTGGGTGGGAGGAGGCAGGCGGTGCCTTTCTCCACTCTTCCCGTGGGGCTGGGTTTGGGGCTGCTGGCCCTCTCAGCCGCCTTCTCCGGCTTTCGGTGTGGGAGACTGTGGCGGCCCTTTCCCTTGCTAGGTCGCCATGGCTGCCCACAGCTGGCCTGCCCCCGGCCGCGGCGAGGCATGTCGACTCTGGCTTGGGAACCCCGGCTGGGAATGGGGAAGGCCCTCAAGTTTTAACGCCTTACTCTTCAGTGAGGTTTCCTTCCTCTTGCTTATTCACCCAGTTGTTTTTAAATTTGTGTTTAAGGGAAAACTGATACTGAAAAAGTTTAGAATGCAGCCTCTGGTGCTGTTTGAATTATCCCTCCTTGCTGGCCTTGGCTCCGCGCGAACGTGTTTCTGAAAGGCGCTTTGAACGTGTGTGGGCAGGTGGTGATATAGGTGTTTGCTTCCACAGCCACTCTTGTGTGTGAGCCCTTAAAATTATCTGCACCCCAAGGAGATATTTGCCCGGGGCTTCAGACCAGAAAGATTAATTTATGTCACAAAACCAAAAAGGCAGTGTAAAAGCTCACTCTTTCAATTGGAAGCTCGTTAGAAACCCGGGGCTTGGTAAGGTAATCCAAGTGTTTAGTTTTTTCATAAATTTGTATGATGAAACCATTCATGAGGTGAAGTTGACCTAGGGTATTGTTCCAGACTGCGGAATAAACTTCTTACAGCAGGAGTCTAGGTAGTAGTTTTTTGTTCCCTTCAAACCAAAAGTGTGGTGTCTTTGACTCCTTCTGGTTAAGTCAGTGGGATACTCAAGTGCCAAAAGTGTTCCTGATCTGGTACCCGAGAGTTTGGAAAGGGGTTGAAGTTACAATAATTGACATTAAAATAATTTCCAGAATATCTGGGGGAGCAGTTGTGTATTTTTAGGGAAAAAAAAGTACTAGCATTGTACTGAGGAGAGAAGTCATTTATTGAACATCTAAGTGTTCTGTTTTAGGCACTGGTTTTGCAGAACTGGCCAGAGTAGTCCCTGTCTTCAGAACTAAATCTTGGGGGAAGAGTTTCATATTACCAAAGGTTATCAAGTTCTGTGGCGTCATTATGAAAGCCAAAGAGAGGAGTTAATTTTGAGTTTGGTGGTTGGGTGGTGCTTCAGAGAAGGCTTTGGTGGGAGGCTGACATTGGAGTTGGGCTTTCACAGGTGAGTAGAATCTTGGGAGTGGAAGCACATTTCAGGCAGAGGAAACTCTATCCAGAAAAGACACCACTGCTTGAGAAAATGTGGTTTGTTTAGGAGAAGACAAATTTTGAGGATATAGGCTGGTAAAGAGAAGATTTTCCCAAGAATAGGAAACAGGAAGTGGTAGTGAGTATGCAGGAGATTGGCCTGCATGGTGATTGTTCTGGTAGAAATTGGGGTATGGCCAGGAAAAGGAAGGGGTGGTTTGCATAATAGAGTACTGAACTGGTAGGCTGTGGGGAGCTACTAAATTACTGAGGTAAGTTGGAAAAATGTGTTTGCCATCTAGCACTAGGGTTAATTCTCTACAGTGTGTGATATTAGGAAATATATGTATGTCTGGTTTTGGTTATGTCAGGTGCTGTAGGGTCGTGGCAGTCTGCCAGAACAAAGAATTACCCACTTCAAATGCCAGCAGAGTCCCCATTGAGATCTGTATAGGAGGCCAATAGGAGTCAGCTACACACAGAATACTGTGGGAAGACCTGGATTAGGAAGTGAAGCAAGGAATGAATTAGAGACACCCAGTAAAAGGAGGATGTGGTAGAGACTAGTATAATGGTATTACAGTAGAAACTCCTCAAAGTTATGACAGGTATTATCAGAAGGTAATTATCATGGTGGATACTCCGTGTATATGAATGTGTATTAATTTTTTATGGGAAAATATCAAACCTATACAAAAGGCGAATAGTGTGGAGAACCTCCATGTAGTCAGCCTCAACAACAATCAACTTTTGGCCCATCTTATTTCATCTGTACCCCACCTCAGTGTTTCCAAGCTGGTTCCTGACCTGTCACTATAACTATTTCCATGAGTATCTCTAAAAGATAAGACTCTTTAAGCATAGGTAGGTGTTTTGATAAAATCTACATGGCTTGCTTGTGTTGATTCCATTTTCTTAGTGGGAAAAGTGCAAAGAAGAAACGGTGTTGGATTTCCTGTCTCTTGTGTTTGTGAATTGCTAATCTCTAGCGGCGCCTGGGTGGCTCAGTGGGTTGAACAGGTCATGATCCCGGGGTCCTGGGATCGAGCCCCGCGTCGGGCTCTCTGCTCTGTGGAGAGCCTGCTTCCTCCTCTCTCTCTGCCTGCCTCCCTGCATACTTGTGATCGCTGTCTGTCAAATAAATACATAAAAAAAAAAAAAATCTTTAAAAGGTTTAAAAAAAAATAATGTTTGATCTGTTCTTTAATTTTTCCTCTTATTTCCTTATTCCCAGATATTTATTGAGCTCTTCTACATGCCAGGCCAGGTCTTTTCCATTGCTCACCAAGAAGCATACTTAACACAGTTTAACATTTGAGTAAAGGGCACCTCATGAATTGTTTCGTTACACTCATGCATGCCAGTTTCTGAATAATCTTCTAAAGATACTGTACCCCCTTTTTCTTTCAGATATCTGAATCTGTTTTTCCCATATGGAATGTGCCCCTTACCCCACCCCAGTCTGTCTTTCCATGTCTGACCAACCCTCAAGGCTCTTCTAGGAAGTCTTATTCAGTTCCTGCTGGTATTTATTTCCCCTTCCTCCCTTCTATAATCTTTACTATTTACTGCTTTGGTTATTTGTCCTTATGTTCTATTATAATAGTTTTAGACTTTTTTTTTTAAAGCCTTTTTTTTATGATGGCAGGGGAGCATAGTCTCTAATCATGCTTTTCATCTTCCATTCAGTAAATACTCAGTAAATATTTTTTCTATTTTAGCTGTATTCTGTATGAACGAAAATCTTAACTATTGCGTAAGTTAACTGCCAAGAGTTTGTCAAAAGTGCAGAGGAAACATCAAGAAATATTTTAAATATTTAACAAGTCACTGGGTAGGAAATATGTAATTTGACTTTATATGAAAGACCATTTTAAGAAGGAGAAACCAGAACAGACGTTTTACTCTTTAGGCCAGGGGAATTGAGCTAAATCTTTTTCTGTTATATAAATTTATCTGAATCTTAACTATGAAGGGACAGAATGCTATTTTCAACCTCAAGAAGGAGTCTTTTACTATTTGTTTTGTGTGAACTCATGATATGAAGGAGTGTCATGCAAACAGATCTAATTGCCAGTTACTGCTAATATTCAGTTATGCTCACACCTGAAGGCAAAACAGCTTGTTTTAGTAACCTGTGTGGCCTTATTGGGAGCTACTATATGGAATTCTTTTAGTCCTTTTGAAATATTTAACATAACTTGGCAACTTCATTTCTCCTTATATGTACTTCTTGACATCTGGCAATTCTTGGTAGGCAATCCGTATTTCAGAGTGAACAATCACCCCCCAACCCACCTCATGTAAATTAGCTGGGTAAACAGATACAATTTTGTACTAATTTTATTGTTTGTGTAACATAAACCAATACTCTTTTGCATGAGTGGCTATTTGCCAGGCTACTTGTGGTAGCACATTTTTTTTATTTTGCTAATTAAATTTCTCTTGGTCATTATCGGAGTCCCCTTTCCCCTCCCCACCTCACCACCAACAGCCAGAATAATAAATGTTAGAGCTCTGAGCTTAGGTGAGAGAAAAGGGTTTATACTATACTTGGTAGTTGGGACTTTAAGCAAATCACTTTTTCTGCTGTGTTTTTCTATAAAGTCGATAATACTTTTTGTCCTGCATGAAAGCTTTTAAAGGAAAGCTCTTTAAAATAATAATGTTCTCTACAAATATGAAATTGATGGTGTCATTTGTGGCTGAATATAGAATAGAAATGCTTTCTAACAGCTTTTCCTGAGAAATAAATCAGTGCTGTTAATTTCTTAATTTTTCATGTCACTAGTCTTGACATTGAATAAACAGTAGCCCCACCAAGGTTATACAATGGAAATCATGAACCAACTTGGTTAAAGAGCCCGAGACCTTTTCTGCCTTCCTGGGACAGATTACCTTTCCAAACTGAACACCCGGAGAATCATTTGGAAATAGCAGAGCTGTCATGTTAAGCACTTCAGTGGTCCTTTCAGGCTGGAGGAATCATTGTTTTCATTCATCTGACCAATTTGTAACATAGAGTAAAATTCCTAGTTATTATCTATCTATCCTCCTCTACCCCCATTTTTATGCCCATCCTTGAAAGAACGGGTAAATGAAGAGGAGACTTAGGTTTCCATTTTATGAATGGTGTAGGTGTTAGTAACTGTGGAGTTTTTTAAACTTCCTGAGACCTGAAAAAGATAGTATTAGATAAATGTCAGCTAGTTGAGGGCTGGGAATTGAAACAGTCATTGCCAAATGTAAAGCATTACTGGAGAGCCAGAGTAATGAAGCAGAGTCCCCTTTACCAAAGCCATTGTAACAGTGTTCTGTGTTCTCTTTCTAAAAAATTATTCCGAAAGACAAAGAATCAAGGAAACTGCCCATTGGTTTCTGCAGATCAGGTGGTTTGAATCTTTTTCGGCACCTTTATTTTCTCTGCCTTAGTTTAACTAGAAGGATGTTTTGATTTTTCATTCTGCTTCTGTGGGGTCTGATAATGTTACTTAGTTGTTTACTTGCAAAATGATTAGCGGGGAGCAGTCTCTTTTGGTAGCTTTTTTTTTTTTTACCCCAATGTCAGAACATTTAGGGGCTCCTGGGTGGCTCAGC